CAGCCGCCGCGCCGGCTCGGGCAGCAGCAGGACGTGGCCCCGCTCCAGCGGGCTGGCGTTGATGGCCACCAGCAGCGGGTCGGGCGGCGGCCCCGGGCCCCCGGCGCGGCGCAGGCGGAGCAGCAGCTCGGCGGGGCGCAGCCGGGTGAAGTTGAAGGCGTCGGGGTCGAAGGGGTCCCGGAGGCTGCGGACGGGCTGCGGTGGGCGGCGCTCGGCGCTGCGCTGCTCGTTCAGCTGCGCCACGAGGCGCACGGGGCCGGGCAGGACGCGGGTGGGCATCGGCCCGAGCCGGTACCGGAACAGCCCCCGCTCCATACGGTCGCTCCAGCCCGCCAGCAGCGCCCTGTCGAAGCGGGAGGGCGCGGAGTCCGGGTCGTCCCAGCCGGCCGGCTGCAGCACGAAGTCCTCCTCGCCGTACACGAACTCCTCGGGGCTCGGCTCGCCCCGCTCCTCGCCCGCCGCCGGCGCCGCCGCCATTGCCGGTGCGGGGCGGGCTCAGCCGCGAACCCGCGGCCTCGGGATCCGCCGGGAGGGCGGGGCTACGCGGGACGGGTGGGCGTGGCTGTCTGGCCGCGGGGCGTTGCCACGGCAGCGGGTGAGTGACAGGTGGCGGAAGCGGCGCCATGGGCGGCTCGGCCAGTCTGCTGCCGCGGGACGCGCTGGGCGAGTACCAGGTACGGCACCGGCACCGGCGGAGAGGGGCGGCGCCGGGGGGACGCGGGGCGGTGTGACCCCGGGAGGCAGCTGCCCATAGGCCGAGGGACCCGGGGCTGCGTTGCCTCGGGTCAGGCCCTGACCCCGCTGCCGGTACTGACCCCGGCGCCCGGTGCTGCCCCCGGTACTGACCCCGGTACTGACCCCGGTGCCCGGTGCTGGCCCCGGTACTGCCCCCGGTGCCCGGTGCTGACCCGCACTCTCCCCGCAGGAGCTGACGTTCCTGAGCAAGCAGGAGATCCTGCTGTAAGTACTGCCCGTGGGGCGGGATGTGGGTGCAGACCCCCGGCCCCCCGTAGTCCCAGGGCCTCGGGCTGTGCTGGGGGTCGCGGAGGGCCCCGGCCCCGCCCCGGGGCTACCGTTCCGCCGCGATGCCCCGCTGAGCCGGGAGGTGCCGGTGCCGTTCCCTGACAGTGGGGTGTCACAGGGCAAAGGTCCGCGGGTGCTGCCGGTGGCGCGGGCCGGGCCGGGTCCGCCCTGACGGGCGGGGTGGGGACTGCGGAGCCGCCCCGAGCCCCCTCTGAATCCCCAGCCCTGGGGCGGGCAGCACCAGGCCGGCTCCTCTCCCTGGCCCCGGGAGCAGCTGGGGGACCCCCGGGCCGGCATGCACCCGCCCGGCCCTGGGAAGCGCTGCCGGTGCCCAGAGGGGCTGCTGCCATCCCGGGAGCACCACAGAGCCGCTCTTGTTCTTTCCTCTTCAAGTGCCTACAAGAGGTTCAGTGAACTGCTGCCAAAGCAGGAGCGGGAGAACGCCTGCTCCGCGCGGGTTCCCAAGAGCCACCTCCTGACACTGCCTGAGCTGCGGGTACGGTGCCTGGCACACTCAGGACGCTTCTGCTCCCGGGTGGGGGCATGTTTGGGCAGGGCCTCGATTTACCCACCACGGCCTCACCGTGCCAATGCTCTGCCCTCAGCTGTGCCCACAAACAGCTTCCTGGTCCCCAGGGAGCTGCTGAGGATCCCGGGGATCCTGCTGTGCCATGGATTCCAGGGATCCCTGCAGTGCATCCCAGGAGGCACAGGACAGGCTCAGCTGTGCTGTGGGTGCTGCACTGGTGGCAGAGCGGGGCACTTGCTCAGCTGCTGGAGCAGCAGCCACAGCTGGTGTGTGCCAGAGGGAGCCAGCCCAGCCCAGCCCTGCCTGAGCCGTTCCTGTGTCCACAGGCAAACCCCTTCCAGCACCGGATCTGCCATGTGTTCTCCACCTCGGAGGCTGGGGACAACAGCATGTCCTTTGAAGACTTCCTTGACATGCTGAGCGTCTTCAGTGACTCTGCCACCTTCGACATCAAATCCCACTATGCCTTCCGCATCTTTGGTAAGGCTGGGGGCTGCTGCTGTCTCCTGGGGTCCCCACACCTCAAGGAAGAGGGGATGGGAGGATGAGTCCATGTTCAGGAGAGCCGCCCATAAGGGACAGTGGCTTTAGGATCTCCCTGTGGGAATGGCTGTTTTGGCACAGTGAAGCTGTGCAGTGCTGGTGCTTGTGACTCCCTGGGGTCTCTGTGGCCCTGCCAAAAGGTACCTTTCCTGTCCCCACAGACTTTGACGACGATGGGACTCTGGACAGGAGGGACCTGGAGCAACTGGTGAACTGCCTGACGGGGCAGGGCGAGGAGTCCCGGCTGAGCAGGGCGGAGATGGAGCAGCTCATCCAAAACGTGAGCGCGTCGGGCAGGGCACGGACACTGCACAGCCCCAGGCACAGAGCTCACCATCCCCTTTCCCCCCAGATCCTGGAGGAGTCTGACATCGACAAGGACGGCACCATCAACCTCTCCGAGTTCCAGCATGTCGTCTCCCGCTCCCCAGACTTTGCCAGGTGCGGTGGTGCCCAGCAGCACAGCCTATCCCAGGGCCTGTCTGGGGGTTCATTGTCCCAGTTGCTGAGCTGGGGCAGAGCTCATGGTGGCAGGAGGGCAGGGCTGCCCTCTGCCAGGTCTGCCACAATGGCAGAGCGAGCTGCATCCCAAGCTGGCTCTGCAGAGCCTCTCCCACATGGGAACGTGGGTCCCTGCAGCAGTGGGCGCTCGCAAACTCTTTGTGTGACCCAGCAAGGAGGTGCAGAACCTGTTGTATCTCTTACAGCTCCTTCAAGATCGTCCTGTGAGCCCCGTGGCTCACCAGCACCACTCCTCCAGTTCCTCCAGAACCACTTGTCCAGTTCCTCCAGCATCATTCCTCCAGTTTCTCCACCACTCCTCCAGTTCCTCCAGCGCTCCTCTGGCTCCTGCAGCTCCCTGTGGGCTCAGCCATTTCTTCTTTCAGAGAGCACAGGCCTGGCCCCTCACTGGCCCAGCAATGCCACAGTGCCTTGGGCAGGAGCCCTCCTGCTTTCCTCTCAGGTGCCTGGCAGTGGGGGGCCCTAGGAATCTGCCTCTCCTGCAGCCCCTCTGTTCTCCCAGCACCAGTTTGACTCCATAAGCAGTCTAAGGGCAGCTCTGCAGGTGGGGGAGGCTGAGCTGCTCCTGCCTGGGGCCACTCTGTGCCAGCACAGCCCCTCCCTGCCCTCAGGACCAACTCCCAAATCCCTAAAGACCAATTCCCAAGTTGTGCCTTCCAGCAGCAGGCAGAGAGCTGCCTCCCTCTCCAGCCTCTTCTCAGCTTCCTCATCTTCCTGGGAGCGTCCCTGCTGCCACATGGATTCATTTCTCTGAGCAGTAACCCGAACATGGATCCTCTGAGCACTAACCAAACTGTGGATCGTTTTTCCTGAGCAATAACCCAAACGGGGCCGTTTCTCTGAGCAATAACCCAAGTGTCACTGTACAGGTGCCAACCCACAGCAGAGCTGTCCCCCCACGGCTGCACAGGACACATTCCTTCTCCACTGGCACAGCCCACGGGTGCGCAGCTGGACTCCCCCGTGCTGCCTCAGCACTGACCGTTCTC